AGAGAGAGAGAGAGAGAGAGAGAGAGAGAGAGAGAGAGAGAGAGAGAGAGAGAGAGAGAGAGAGAGAGAGAGAGAGAGAGGGATATGGAAAGGGAGAGATATGACATAGACCCGCTTCAAATATAAAAAAGGGAAGTGGTCTATCCACTTCTTCGGATCCGTAGCAAAATCAAACATGACGAAATTGTCCGTCCCGGCGCAAGACAGCAGCCCGCGACAAATCTTGAAAGGAGTTTGGATACACATGTCGCAACACACAAGCTCTGTGAAAAGTAATTGGAGCGTAATAAAAAAAAAATAAGAAGAAGAAGAAATCGCCGAAATAAGCGAAGGACACACGTCGACAGACGTGAATTGAAACGGGGGACTCATCTACCCATCTGCACGACCACACACTACCAATGCCGTGATAACGATGGACTCGACCAGGCAGACGGGAGCAGAAACGGCGGCTAACGCTCGCGGATGGCCTTCGCTATCTCAAGCAGAGCGTGGCACATGAGTTTGCAAACTTCGTCGGACGGAGCGTAGTGTTTCTTTTGCACCTCCTCCTCCGCTTCCAATGCCTCGCACTGCCGGATTTGGATTGAACACTGTCGTTTGCTGTTGCTTTCCATCGTCGACACCACCAGAGCCTCGTGCTTCTCCATGCATTCCGACAGAGCGTCGAAAGTTCGCTGCCTCGTGCTCTTCCTCTTGATGAAGCCAGCAGGGCCTACCGTCATCTGAGAAGAACCTCTCGTCGACCCTTCATCGTCGTCGTCCAGCCCTGCAGCAGCGTCCCGATCCCCGACAGACTCCGGATCACTAGAATTCGCCGACGGCGGACGCACACCCCCCGGAGCAAGAGTGTTAGCGACGTTCTTGGGGTTAATGGTGTGGCTCTTGGCAGTCGACCCCAGGATCTCGTCGTAAACCGCACGATCCATGTTGAAACTGAAGCCCTTCGACAACCGCTCCTTCCCTATGAACTGGAAGAAGTCCTGTTTCCCGGACAAGCCTTGGAAGTGGTGCACCTTCTCGAACTGCTACATCTAACTGTCCCACTTCTTCCCGCACCGTTCTGCCTCCCTCTCCATGCCCACCTTCCTTAGCCTTTGCTCCACATCTAACCACTTCCATTCTCGCGGCTTCATACGAGCATACGCGGTGCCCATTCCCTGCAGATGCGCATCTTGGTCACGTTTAGCCCGTATCAGGGCCACCATGTCGTCAATAGACCAAAAATGACGACCGCCTTCTACATCGCCGTCAGCTTCGACGTCGCTCCCCTTCCCCGTTGGCTTCTTCCCCCGCCGACCGTTGCGAACAGACGCCTTCGCCCTACCGCCCTTCCCCCCCATGCTGCTTTGCTTGGATGGCGACACTTGCCCTGCGTCGTCCTCCCCACCCCCGCAGTCGTCGTCGTTCAAGTCCTGATAGGTGCCGGCGACATCAGGTGCGTCGCCGTCGTTTTCGTCGTCCACCACTCGCAGTCGCTGCACGCCCCGTGTTATGGATTCTTGTCGTCGCGGATGGATCATCCGTCGCTGTTCTTCTCACACCTCCCTCCTGTCGCGTGCGTCACGTCTTTCCTCGATCCCGCAATCATGCTCCCCGCATTCCCCCCGATTGCGAGCCGCACTCGATTTCGCGGACAGGGGAGACGGGGACAACATCCACGACGGGCGAGCCGAGGCACCCCTTGAAGCAGACGGCGCCCTGTATTGCTGCACACAATGATCCCTATTGTTCCCCGACGCCACGCAGACCGATGACGCTGGAGACTTCGACGGTCGTGCAACAGCCGTCACCTGGCCGCCATTGTCATCGGGACGGTTGTTGACTAGCACTGTCCGCGTCGAAGACAACGACCTCCCACTCCACAGACCGAACGTCAGATTCACACCTCCATCTCCTTCGTCGCCGCTCAGGCCCTGCTGGAGGAGCTGGGTGTACGACTGCCCGTAACAGGGCTCGCGGCTTCCACAAAGCTTTGTGGCCGTCCACTCCTGCGTAGACCCGCTTCCCGCGGCACGTGAACGTCTGTCGTCCTCCTCCTCGTCCGATGTGTCCAGCAAAGGCTGCAAGTGCGGTGGCAGGTGCGCATACTCTGACCGCTCCACCGCCCTTGAACCTCTACACGGGCTCTGCCCGGCCCGTTGGCCACCACCCTCACCCCCTGCAGACCTGCAAACCGCCTGCCGCCCATCCACACTGACGTCCTTCTTTGCACACCGTCGCCTGCGCCCACGTCGTGGAACGATGCCGACGACACAGACGTGGAAGAGCACTACGAGGAGAAGCAAGAGGACGACCAGCACCAGCAGTGGCAGCCTCCGAAAGACGTCGGCCATGAAATGCACGTGGACGACTCGAGCACCTGCAAGACAGTCGTGGACGTACAGGAAACGGCGACGGTCACTCTGCCGAAAACGGCCGATCGCAGCTAACGACAAACGGTGGGTAACGTGCTCCGTTGCGAAAGACACAACGCGATCGGGAAAGCGGGGGCGGCCTGAAGTATTCGAATCTGCCGACCGTTGGCCGCTTTCCCACCAGTGTCGAAGGGCGGCAACGCAAGGCAGCCCCTTTCCGACGTCGCGAAGGCTGGCAGGCCGCCGAAGGGACCGTTGGCGGAGTATTCCGTGACGCCTACCGTTGCCAACCGGAGATGTCCGTCCACGGGCCGCCAGGAACAGCAATGGACCAGCCGCGTCGAAAATTGTCGTTGAGAGAGCTGCCGTCGACGCTCCGATTCTTCCGGACGCTCGACCTCCAAGGGACCTCAGGAAGTCCCTTGGGGAACGCGTCGAAATGGCTGTAGCCCGAGGAATCCCGGAGGAAACCCCGAGGAAATGTTTTCACATTTTTTTTTTCGTTTTGTTCCCCGAGGATAGGTGGAACGATGATTTCCTTGGGGATTTTACGCGCCCGAGGAGTGTCGAACGAGCCCCTGAATCTTCCGCCTTATCATGGATTTATGGAAGATTCATTCTCGGAAGATTCATTCTCGTTTTGATGTGTGTGTGTGTGTGTGTGTGTGTGTGTGTGTGTGTG